TGTGGTTTTAGGCCCTGTCCACACGAACGCAGGTATTTTCAAAACCACAGCTTTTTCTATGCGGTTTGGCCGTTCGTCCACACGCAAACGCAGCACCAGGTCAATGAAACCGAACATTTTTGAAAACTCCTGCCAGGGTGAAGATTTTCAAAAACTCCGGTTGCAGTGTTATCGTACAGACAGCGAAACCAGAAATTTTGGCTTGTGAAGTCGGAGCATGCACTGTTATCTCCGCCTACTGGAAACTTTTTCAGGCTTCTGATTGGCCAACATGGCTTTACGGTTGAGATTATATCGCCACCTGTTGGCTTGGCATGCTCTTGACAGTGCTTCATAGCATGCTTTTGCGTTTTCATGTGGACTGAGATTTTTTTAAAAACGGAAGGAAAAACTCTGTTTATAAAAATACCCGTGTATGTGTGGACATAGCCTTAAAAGTGTTTAATATATGCCGACTCGCGCATCCACTCCGTGCGATCGCGTTTCTGGACCGGAGCCAAAGTCCAGATCAGACTGTGCACGCTGCCGTGGTTTGCGTGACGCAATGTGAAACCCTCATTTGATCATTCCCTATCGCATACATTGTGCACTATGTGCCATTCATTGTACAGGAAATACTACACTGTGAACTAATCTCAGCCGCAGCTTCAGCGTCTATTTATAGTGTAGGGGGCGGGCGCTTCGGATTCTAGAGCATTTGATTGGCCAGAAGATTTGATGAGAACCTGAAGTACAAGGTGACCTAAAAAAAAAATCACTGATCCATTTTGGCGGAAGTGACGAACTGCAAGCTTTGAATGCTAATATCTTCTAATTCCGAATTTTGTCACTGTTTTGGAGCACACTGGCTTATAGATAACCTTAAGACTAACATATTGATTCTAACACCCAAAAAACTACATTTTGATTTCATGGGGACTTTAAAGTTATCGTTCTTGGTGTGAACGGGGCTTTACAGTGAAGAAAAAAACATTTTAAATGTAAACAATACTGGGTGTGACGGAGGTTTCAGGCACTACATAGTCATGACACGATATTAGCTACTAAAGTAGCTGCAAAGGTGTGTCACAGTTGACTGAGCATGGGGACAATGTGCACACATTTTGCATTCATTTTGCAGCCAAGCAAAACCTAAAAGGCTAGAAGATCCATTATGTACATGCTTTATGTTCGATTAGTTAAAGGGGTCATATGATGCAATTTCAAATGTTCCTTTCTCTTTGGAGTGTTACAAGCTGTTCGTGCATAGATATGATCCATAAAGTTGCAAAGACTAAAGTCTCAAACCCAAAGAGATATTCTTTATAAAAGTTAAGACTTGTCCACGCCCTCCTAAAACGCCTCGTTTAAACACGCCCCCACCTCGTTCTAACACGCCCCCACATATCTATGTCACTGTGTGGGAAGATTTGCATAACACCGCCCAAATGTTCACGCAAAGAAAGGCGGCGTAACTGTTATTCTTGTTGTAGTATTGTTGCTGCCACCGCCATGTCGTGGCGACGCTGTGTTTCGTTGTGAAAGCGAAACTACTTTGTTTGTCCTTCCTCCTCTCACTCAAGCCCGCCGTGTGTGACGCTGTTTGTTTTGTTGTGAAAGCGAAACTACTTTGTTTGGCCTTCCAAAAGAGGACACAACTAGAAATCAGTGGTTAAGTTGTATTTACAACACTGTTCCAGAACAGTTTAACCCAAATATTCAGATGTGTGCAGCGCATTTTAGGACTGTTTCCTGAACCTGCAGAGTACCGTTAGCCTACAATGCGTCTGTGCACAAAGGCTGTTTCTATAAAGTGGGGCAGTTCCAACTTTGCAAGGACAGTCTGGCGCTTCTGACTCACAGCCTGCAAGTACATTTTTTATATTTAAAGAATTTGCCACTGATGATTCAAACGCGAGTTTTGAGCAGAATGTTTTTTTTTTGCCTTAAACCGCATAAACACATTGCATTACACCAAATACACAACAGAATGTTCTTTTTAGCAACGTCATATGACCCCTTTAAATAAAGTGTAGGCTACATACAGAGAAACTGCATAATAAACATCATTCTTCCTGCAAGCTCATAGATGTTAATTTGTTCATTCTTGAAGTGCAAAAACCTTTTTATTTAACTTTTGTAAATGGTGATTACACTGACTGTTGTGGATCGCAATCTTAACTGAGATTTCTATCTGAGATAAATGTTTTGTCCTACCTGTGACACGACTCGGCCTGGCTCTTCTCATCCAGAACATTTTATTAAAAACTTAAGTACTAAAACATGACACCCTAAATGACAGTTAATTACCTACCTAAAAATGTATCATAGTTATGAACAGAATAATTTTAAAGAAATATAATAGAAAGCTTTTGTGAAAACTACTGAGTATGACTGTATGGATCTTTAAATTGCTTTTCAAAAGAATTAAAATTCTCAGTACTCACATTAATAATAATAAATACCCAGCAAATATAGACTATGCAAGCAAATGAATATAATGCACTCAATTACCTATCAGGCCTGTAATAAATGCACTCTTATTCTGATTGATTAGAACTACTATATAGCAATGTCTTCTTATATCAATTGCAAGCATGTCATGTTAATTTGCTTAAAATGCTGTTCAAATAAATATTTCTAGGTAATTAATAATGATAATGAAAACAACTACTAGCTTAGCAACTGTTTTCTAAAACCAATAAGGCATTGTGACCATGCTGCATTGCGAATATAGTCACTCTACTCCATGACTATATTCACAATATGGCACCTTATTTTTAAAATATGAGCAGGCAACAACCAATTATTTTACTCTTTGTGCTGTGTAATTACACTCGCTACACTTCTAGAATGGGGGAACTCACCAATTTGTGGTCAATGCTACACTTTACCTCAAATACGTGCTAAAAGTTGATTAATTTGCTAAAAGCTGGGACCCATTTGATGAACATAATTTCTTTTTTTAATAAGAAGAAAGGGCCACTCACATCATGTACATACTGCCAAATAGTAAGCGTTAATATTCCTCTGGTTATGTGACCTCAACATGTCAGCCGCCATGAGCGGATAAAGTCTATGCAACATAAAACAACTTTTATTTGGCTACTTGTAACTCAAGTCTTCATCCCATGTAAGCATTATTTAAATATTTTCTTACTGCACGCACATCAAGGTGGGTGTTACACTACACCTTCCATTTACACACGGAAAAGCGAAAACGCAAATAAACGCATAGAAGTTTTAGACAAAATATTTTAACATTTTGAATACATTGTTAATTACATAGGATTTGCTATTTACTTATATAATACAATAATTATTTTATTATTGTAATATAAATACTGTTACAATAATAAAATAAAGTATTATTTATTAACAGAAGCGTTAAAATTTGATGGCTGGTACGCAATAATTAGCGTAAATGCTGCATAGGATTCTAGAATATGTTATAATAAATCATAAACAAATAGTTTCCTATGAGGATAAAGATGTAAGCCGCTCAGAAACAGTTTATCATTTAGTGCAGTATACCGCCAAGTATTTTTTACGTATTATAGGAAAATACACTAAATAAAAATATGCATTGACAATGTCATGAAATAACCCTAGCCCCATGCTTTTGCAAATACAAAACAAGTCTACTCTTTAATAGACATCCACGATAATAAAACGCATTTGTAACGCGACGTGCGCATGAATACCGAGAAGGCTCATGAACTAGTAATTTACCATAATAGCATGACTAGACCGCCTATTTTACCTAACTCACGGGTGCGCAAACGTGGCAGCCACCGACGTGCATAAATGTTATTTGTCCAAAGTCAAGAAATGGAGTTTCAGTCACCTTTTGTGTAACGGGCGTCGAGTTATATTCGTCGATGGCGCATGGCTCTAATAGGCCCGAGAACTAAAAGTTGGCGCAGATGGCGCATGCACGTCGAAACATCTCGAATGGCGGGCGAATCTGATGCGAGCACGCTGAGAGATGCTCTGCTCTGGCCACGAAGTAACAACGAAAAAGACCCCTGTTCAGCCAAGGTTTTCGATTTCTTTAACAGATACAGCGTTATCCGGTTTAGACTGTTACCTTTTGTCAATATGAAATGCATATTATGCATACTCTCTCTCCTGTCTTCGTTAATGCGGTTTTGCGCTCTCTCTCTCTCTCTCCCTTCTCACATTATTACACCGTGCGTCTCACCCTCCGAGGTTTGCGTGCGTGCGGTGACGTCAGGACGTCTCGTCCGCGTGTGACTACCACTCGCAGGCGCTGCCTCTGACTCATGAGGCTTGTTGGTTGTACTGCGCATGCGTTTACTTAACGCCTTTGTTTACGTCATCATGGCTGCGTCGATTCGCACTGAATCGGTTTTTATTCGAATGACGATTATCGCAGAGAAAAAAGGGTCGTCGCGTAAAACGTTTTTCTTTTAAATCTGATTTGAAACAAAGCGGCACAAATGCAAAGATTTGTCATCCTAGATTCATCTTGGGGATCATAAACGTGGGTTTTGAGACAAAGGCGTTTTGTTCATGATGCTGCCAAAGCCCTTTTTCAATGAACTGCTCCGTACAGTTCTTCATTAAACATGCTTTCCACTCGTTTGTTTGGTGTTACTTGTTTTCGTTGTCGGAGGACGGGCAATTGTATAATGGTCGAAGGGGTTTAACAATGTAAAGACCAATAAAACTAGTCAGGTAAACTGTCTTTTGACTGAGATAGGCTATTAATGTACAGTACGTTTTAGGATTTTGCTGACCTGAGAATGCAGTATTTGGTAGACCACCTCAGTGAAGAAGAAAAAACACTTAATTGTTTGTGGAATTCCAGTTTGGAAGTAATACTAACATTAAACCTTATACAATAGGCTCTTACTTGATTAAGCGATTTTTATCCCATCATTAGAAATTCATATCAGTTCTGTATACATCTCTAGGATGAGCAATTTTACACACACACACACACATATATATATATATATATAGCCTGAAACCCCAACAAGTTTTTTGAGTCTAGAATGAATGTTTTATTTAGCCTACAGTTTATGAAACAAACTGGAAAACAATTCTACAAGTTCACACTTGTAAGCACCACCCAGAAGGTCAACAACAAGATCTCAGGCATTGCTGTTTTGTGCAACATTCTTGCTATTTGTAATAACTCTGAAACAACAACAAAAATCCCCATTTTGCTTGTATAAAAGGTATTGTTCACTGTCTGGACTGTGTTGAAATCTACAGTCTATGGTTGAAATCTGTATAGCTGTAATTATAATAAACCCATTTTAGTCTGTTTCCAAGTTTTATGATATTTCATGGGAGGTATTTCATGCTAACATCATCTTTGCCCATTTAATTGTTCTGAGATGAGCAGGCAGCCCTCTTTACAAGGGTTAATAACACTGAATGATGTGTCAGATTTATTCACAACACATATGAAAGTTTGTTACACGACCTAACACTCTAAAACTGAGTTGTACAGTAATGAACTAAAACACAAAATCTACTGATTTTAGAAACATCCACTGAAGAGATCGTACACACAGCTCATTTACAACTCATTAACAGGTTTAAAAACACAATTAGCAAAAACAAGCTTTCATTCTATGCTGCAATTCTTGCTGTTTGAGCAATCATAACACACAGCATAAGACAAACAATTTGCACATAATAAAACCTGTTGTCCCTTGATATCCCATCCTCAGAATGCTTTAAAGAAGATTTACTGTGCAGGCTAACGGAATGATCTGGTTTAAAAGCAACAACCATAGAAAATAACTCCGCCCTACCAAACAAAAAAAAAGTGTTGATGGTAACATGCTTACAATGGAGTTCTATAGTGCAATTGCTCCATGTACACAACACATTTCTGTTCGTTTTTACAAGCTCTTATTTTCTATGGCATTATTATCATTAGTGAAACTGATGGCAAATCTTTCACGTGTTTTCCCCCTGCAAAAACACTTCCATAATTCAGTAAGCTTACACAGTTTAACTTGTATTTAGCCCAGAACGTTCCTTTAAGTACAAATATAACAATGACACTCTGAGCTTATGTCATAGTATGCATTATAAATCCAAAATAATTTCTTCTTGCAACGTAACAAATGTGCAGAAATGTTTGCAAACAAAGGCACCACATATGTGAGTCCCAGGATGTGACTGACACTTCACACATACAAAACACACAAAAAATGCCGGCACTGTACCTGCAAAAACACATTTACACAAAGATGTATATTTTACACTTCAAAAATCACATTTGTTGAAACACTGGCTTTGCTACAGTCATAATTAGTAATTACCATTGAAATAAAGGTGTCAAATCATGTTTCTAAAAGGTATTAGCAGCTGATTGTACGTCCACGTCATGCCTCTAGAGTTAGCATGGAGAACAGCTCTTTGTGTTAAGCATTATTCCTGGAATTTCACCAGTAAACCGACAAAGGAATGTTTTTACGGACTCACTGTTCTTTTACAAGAGTCTTTACAAGTTGTGCAATCATTATCTACTAGATTATGTAAGCATGGGGAAAAATGACAACAAAAATCACACATTAATGATAACATCCTCTTCCTCGTCCTTGACATCCTCAGACAGGCCGTCGTCAGAGTGCCTGCTTTCTTCATCAATGACGCTACCATGTGGGCCGATGATGTACCGGTAGTCTCCACCAATAGCAAGAGCAGCTCCTGATGACACCATTAACCAGTCCTTTTCATCTTCCTCTATACCTACACACTGCCAAGGTACCCCCCATGAGGGCTCTTCACTACTACGGGTCCCGGCATCTGCCACCGGCCCAGAGGCCTGTTCTCCATCCTCTTCCTCCAGGTTCACATACAGCAGCGGTTCTTTTACAGGAGCTGGATTCAGCTTTGCCCACAAGAGCTCCAACTGGTCAATGAGGTGTTGGAAACTAGGACGACACTTTGGGACAGGAGACCAACAGCTATGCATGATTTCATAACTGGAAGTGAGAAAAGATGGAATAGTTTTTATATTATATATATACACGGGTGTAAAATTGGCGTAGAAATTGCTAGTAAATTTCTCAAACAATAAAAAAAAACAGCAAGTAAAACATTGGATTTACCAAGAAATTTTGAAGCAGAAAAACTTAAATTGTATTTTCTTGTAAAATATACTCCAATAATCTGTTTTATTTACAAGCAGAATGAATATCTAAAATGAGTATGGTTTAAAAACGTTTTGTGACTTTTAGTATTTAATACACTACCATTCAAAAGTCTGGTGTCAATAAGATTTTTTTTTTTTAAGAATTTAATACTTTTATTCAGCAAGTACGCATTAAAATGATCAAAAGTGATAAAAAAATATACTTTTACATTGTCAAAAAAACCTATGTATAATAAATGCTGCTGTTTTGTACTTTCTATTCATCAAAGAACCCTGAAAAAGTATGACAATTTTCACAAAAATATTAAGAAAAAAAATAAAAAATTGTTTTCAACATAGTATCACATAATATATAAGAATATATAAGAAATAATAACACATTTTTCTTGAGCAGCATATCAGACATAAATGCATTTGCATCACAGAAATAAATTAATTTACAATACACTAAAACAGAAAAGAGTTATTTAAAATTGTAATAATATTTCACAATATTACTGTTTTTTTTTTTCAAATACATGCCGTCTTTGATCAAATAAATGCAAAAAGGAATGCATTTTAGAGACTTTATTAGATTTTCTAAAAAAAAAATATATATATATATTAATTAATAAAACTTACATGTCAGCAGGACAGTCAGGAGGCTGTTTGAGTCTTTCTCCTTTGATAAGATACTCATAGATTTCTGAGTTCTCCACCCCTGGATAAGGTGTTTGGCCTCTAGTCATGATCTCCCACATGGTTACACCAAATGCCCACTTTATAAAAAAACAAAACAAAAAAAAACATCAGTACCAGGCACAATAAAAGTGAAACAAGGACTCACATCAAATGAACAAGGACTACATACACTAGTAAACACAATTAAAGGGGTCATATGATGCGATTTCAATTTTTCCTTTCTCTTTGGAGTGTTACAAGCTCTTGGTGCATAAAGAAGATCTGTAAAGTTGCAAAGACTAAAGTCTCAAATCCAAAGAGATATTCTTTATAAAAGTTCAGAGTCAGCCACACCTACCTAAAACGGCTCGTTCTAACACACCCCCACATATCTACATCACGATGTGGGAAGATTTGCATAACGCCGCCCAAATGTTCACGCAAAGAAAGAAGGCGTAACTTTTATTCCCGCTGTAGTATTGTTGTTGCCGCCGCCATGTCGTGAAGGCACTGTGTGATTCGTTGTGAAAGTGAAACTACTTTGTTTGGCCTTCCAAAAGAGGACGATATCTGCTTTGTCATGCCTGGATCTGATCCGTGCTGATCGCTGAGGAAATACAACAACTTTGTGCTGTGGATCGCCGGATCGGCTTTCACCGTGGACGAAGCGGAGTCCAGCCCGGGGTCGTCACATGTGGTTGCCGCAAGCCCACTGGCCGCCGCTCACTCAAGCCGCCGGCTCTTTTGGAAGGACACGACTAGAAATCAATGGTTAAGTTGCATTTACAACACTGTTCCAGAACAGTTACCGCATAAACACATTTCATTACACCAAATACACAAAATAATGTTCTTTTTAGCAGCATCATATGACCCCTTTAATATATTACATGGCTTTCTGGGATACTAGATTTTGTTTGATCATTCTGTGGTCAAATATATTATGACCACTAAATTGTATAACCGACCGTTGTGAGAATAGCAAAGATACAGTAGTAATTCCTCTTTAAGAAGAAGGTCTAGAAGTATGAAATACTAACAACTAATATTAAATAAATAATGCATACAGACAAACAGTGTTCATTACCACATCGCTCTGTGTTGTGTAGACATTATCTGCCAGGCTTTCCAAAGCAATCCACTTTACAGGCAACTTAGAGACAGATCCTTGTCTATAGTAGTCACCGCTGTAGATTTTCTTTGAGAGACCAAAATCTGCTACACACACACTCATGTTTTCATTCAACCTAATAGTGAGGATGCAGATGATGAGAAATATTACACTTGAGCTAATCCAGACAGTTTGTGGTAAATAAGCAATATAAATATATTTGGATACATTTGGAGAGTTTACATGCCTATTAAATATGATCAAAAATGTGTTCCTGTTACATGCACATGAAATAACTCACATGCAGTTGCGAGCAGCCAGATCCCGATGGATGATGTTTTTACTGCTTAGATACTCCATCCCTCGAGCAATATCCAGCATGAACTGGATAAGAATTTGCTGAGACAGAGTCTACAATAACAAAAGACAACTTCAGACATCTACATCTACAGTAGCTGTGTGTTTGAGGACGTGATAGGTAATAAACATACGAAAGGTTCATCTCCGAAGCGTGACATGAGAAGAAATGTGTGGAGATCTCCATGTTTCATGAAGGGCAGGATCACCATAGGAACAGGTAGCCGCTGCTGGGCTCTCTTGTGCAGACTCACACCTGCGGGAGTAAAATCACAACCATATTTGCTCCAAATGTTAAAGCAAACAGATTGTAACCCAAAGGTCAAGCAGAAAAGGAAAAGTGTGCACTAACCAATGAGCTGAATGACATTGGGATGATGGAAGTCTTTCATATAGGCAGCCTCTTTCAGACATTGCTCAATGTCACTGGATGAGTTAATGTCAGCTGTAAGAGCACAGAGAGAGATACATCATTGTATAGAAACAATGACAGCACCAATATCATGGGCCACAGACATCCACCTGCTCATTAACCAATCATTTTAGATGTACACTTACTTTTTAGGACTTTCACAGCAACCTTCTGCCCAGAGTTATTTTCCGATTTGAGAAACGCTTCTCTCACAGAGCCAAACTCACCTAGAAAACAAAACCCAGATGCTATTAATATTCTTCCTAATATGAGTTATTTTGACCGCAATGAATGAATGTTTTTATTTTATTTGTCCCCTCTGTCTACATATACATTTCTTATGCTCACTAAGGATTAATTTATTTGATAAAAAATACAGTAAAAACAGTAATATTCTGAAATATTGTTACAATGTACAGTAATTTTTCTACTGATATATTTTAAAGTGTATATTATTCCTGTGATGCAAAGCTAAATTTTCAGCATCATTACTCCAGTATTAAGTGTCACATGATCCTTCAGAAATCATTCAGAAATATGCTGATTTGCTCTTCAAGAAACATTTATTTTTACTATCAACATTGAAAACATCTGTGCTGCTTAATACTTCTGTGGAAACTGTGATGCACTAGCATTCAAAAGGTTGGGGTCAGTAAGATTTTTTTAAAGAAAGAAATTAATACTTTTATTGATCAAGGTTGCATTAAATTGATCAAAAGTGACATTTATAATGTTACAAAGGATATTTCACCATCCTTTTCAGAATCTATTCAGTTCTTTTGAACTTTCTATTCATCAAATGATACTGAAACCAAATGTATCAGTGTTTCCACAAAAATATTAAGCAGCAAAAATGGTTTTCAACACTGAACCATCATTAATAATTAATCAACTGAACATCCAAGTCATAATGTACCTTTTCCAAGCATGCGTCCCAGAGTTAATAGCCTTTCAGAGATGAGAACATCCTGTAACTTGGCCTTCAAATCACTGTTGATTCCTAGACTGTCCACTAGAGGAAAACAGAGTCGAAATTCATAATTTCCTGTAAAACATGCACTGTAGGATGTGTCGTGCATATCAGCAACTTGTTCACTTACATGTGGATTCTGGGGGCTCAGGGAACTGCCTGTTGAAGGACCTGGCAGCTGTAAAGGAAACTGGCACATCTGTCCCCGAAGCTGCAAATGCAGACCTGCAAACAGACCAAACAATTAAAAATAACCCATATTTCACAGTTTTAAATAACAATTTAGAAATGCATTTTAACCAAACTGCCTAAAAAGGTAAAACACACAAACATAATGATTGGAAGTGAGAAAATGGTTTAAAATTCTATTCTTGGACTACAACTTCGATAGATTTATATCCAATATTTAATCACTTTGAGCATAGGTGATCCAAACTGTAAAAGGACAGATCACAGTTTACCAGATTTCAGTCGTATTTCAGACAAAATGTGTACTTACTGCATTTTGGGCAGGATATATGGTGTATTAATGTATCACATTCAGTAAAAACATACCCAAACTGGGTCTCTTTGCCTCTGTTGTGCACCAGTACAATCAACAGGAGTCCCACCATGGTGGCCACAAGAAGGCCGAAAAGCAGCCCCACCCACATGTGGCCCCTCTGAGTCTGAGCCTGCATGGCTGAAACGAGACAACAAGAGCGTTAAACACCACTTCTGCTCAAAAGTGCCTGAAGCCACGCCATTCCTGCATAATGAGCCACACAAAGAAAAAAATCTCTCAGAGTGCTGCATTATGGGAACAAGCTGCAGTGACTGCAGAAATCCCAATTTCAAAAGGCAGGAGGGCAGACAATGAGAGTGGACAGACCTGACACGGGCATCACGAGAACAGGCTGACTCCACGGGCCACATCCTGCCATTGTGCATGCTGCAACCTGGAAGGTGGCGTTAAAGAAGCGCCCTGCACCCGAGAGACGGGCAATGTTGTCTTTAAAAAGTAAGGGATCCTATAAAGACAAAAAGCAAATTGTGCATAGCAGTTAAGGGTGGGTAGCTCTTAAATGTCATGACAGAGGAAAATTAATGGCCTTTAGACATCCAAACTTGGCGTGTATATGATATTTTATCATAGAAACGAATCAAATTTTTACCCATTACCAATAACAGGATAAAGGTCATTTTTTATATGATCAATAATGTTTCAAGTCATATTTATAAATATAGAGCTTTATACAATACAGATTGTTTATAAGCAGATTCACAATAACAGTATTAATGTTGCAAAATTCATAAATTATTAAATGACTTCAATTTCAGCTTTAAAGCAACTCTAAAGAAGACAATAGTGTAATTATTCAGGGAAATTTGGATTCAAAGATGATTCAATTCAGTTTAATAACGGTGTCAATGTTGCAAAGTTAATAAATTCTGAAATTATTCAACTTAGCTATAAACCAGATCTACAGAAGTAAATAGTGCCATTTTTCAGCTCAAGCCAGTTCAATATTTATTTAATTCAGTTGTCATTATTGCAAAGTTCATCAATTACGAAATGAATCATTCAGATTCGATACTGAATCAATTCAGTTCAATAATAGAGTCAGTGTAGCAAAATTTCCTTTATAAGTATGTCTTCCTTTACAATGATGTACCTGACTCTCTCCTCCCTGGTTCCACTGCACTTTATATGCCAGTAACCTTCCACGTAGCTCCTCCTGATCCAGTGCCGCCCAGGACAGAGTGAGCTGATGCTCGCTGAGTTCAAAGGTAAAGTTCTTTGGAGCTGCTGATGGTGCTGTGTAAGAAAGATATGAAAACAGTAAAAAAGAGAGAGTGCAGAGGGTCAATTACCACTGTACAGACAAAAGTATGAGTCAAACACCTCTGCATAACAATAAATAAGTCACAGCCAGGCCCAGATGGAATTTGTTTACATTTTCTCCACTGAATTTGGGAGGGGGAGGTGTCCTCAAGAATTGGTGGAATGGATTTCAAATGGAGAGTACTATACTCTTATTTATACTTGATAAGAAAGAAAAATATAACCGGCAGTAAATCAAATCCATTTAAACAGCTGCAACGACCAGTAGGTGGCAGCATATTGAATGCTGTATGTGGCAGCATTGCATTGATATGGATTGGGGACACACACAATGGCGCATTGTACCACTCAGCCTGGAATCTACTGGACTGCAGCCAGTGCTAGCAGTTTACAAACATGTAAACAGGGTCAACTTCAGAAACCCCTTCTGCTCCTCAAACCCATCCACCAGTTCCTCCCCTTCCAAACCCCCTCGCCCCAGGCATCTGGCCAGAACCAGCTCTCTGGCTCGTTTGTTTACTTCCAAACCACCAAAACGTTGGTCAAACTGGCTAACGGTTTTATTCCCTATGGAATGTTAAAAATGTTAGTCACTCAGCACTGTTTTACCACAGTTTGGAATTAAATATGTCAGTGTCAATTAGCCCTCATTGATCCAAGCCTAATAATTTAGTGATGTATGCAAGAAAGCATGTTATAGCTATAAGCTTTCTTCGAGATGGATCGGAGTTCTACAAAATGCAATTTCCTTCCTTCCTTCCTCTCTTCTTAGTACCTCAACATTCTTCATGCAGACACAAAGTATAAGGATGACCAGATCAAATTTCACATGAAAATCAAAAGAAATGTAGGATTTTTTTTCCCCAAAAAGTAAATTACTGTAATTTATTTATTGAATAACTGTATTAATTTGTTTAATTACATTTATTAATTTTATTTAAAAAAAATTTAATGGTCATATCACATATCAAATAAGTCCTAAAAAACTAAGTCTTATTTTCTTATATATATATATATATATATATATATATAGGTTTTTAAAATCATTTTATTTCAGCTAGTTATAATGGCATTTATCATTTTCATTCTGTTTAAATTGAAGTACTAAAATAAATAAAACTAACACATAATAAAAACCTTATAGACATTAAACAAAAACGAATGAAAACACAAACAATTTACTAAAACCATTAACAGAATTTAAAAATTAAAATAAAAACTGAAAATATAAAAATAAAATTAATTCAAACTATTAACACAAACAAAATCTACAGTAGTAAACGTTATTATGATTTTCAAACCTAACCTCTTCTGACTAATGAATTTGAGTTTTCCAATATACATTCATTTCAGGGCGGCTTCAAATAGCTTATTTATAGTCTGCATATTAAGTTGTTGTATTTTAAAATCAAGAAAGTTACACACGTCCTCAAAACTCCTTTTATAGACACTGGACTCATTATTAGCAGTTTATAGCCAATTAAATATTTTAAAGCAAAAAATTAAATAAAATAAAAAAATTTTACTAGAGAAGGTCTGATCAATTTTGCCCATGGGAACCTTACCATTCTCTAAATCAAACAGTAGAGCACTGATCTAGCTATGCCAAGGTGATGGGTTCGATTATCAGGGAATGCAAGAGCTGATATAATGCTTACTTTAAATACAATATAAGCTGTTTTGGATAAAAGTGTCTGCCAAATGCATGAATATAAGTCTGCAATTTAATTTCCACAGCAATGCCATTTGAGAGAAAAAAAGCCATTAATGTTAATTTGACTCAGAACACATTAGAAAGAAACACCATGCATGCATAATGACATTACCTTATCTGATGTTTCACATACCTGCCTCTGGAGTGTGAAAGTCCACCCAGGGAGAGAAGGGGGAAGAGCCCACCTCGTTATCACACCGGATTCTCACACTGTAGTTTGAGTAACTGCTGAGTCCCTCAAACACATGCTGGAAGGGTGGAACTACCACATCCACATCAGGAAGTTTTACCTTCTTTCCAGGTCCCTTTGACACCTACAAATGGATTAAAGTCAGATATTTCTCATCCCATTATGGCACATAATCCAAATATGAGCCCGGTAAAACTGGTAAAAAAATCATTTTAATTTAATTTAATTGAAGCATATGGATTTAAATACTGAGAATTTTAAAAAGAAAAGAAAAGAAGGAATTTGCTAATTATTTACTTAGATATGGAAGCTTGTTTTGGAATTAATAAGGCTAAGGAATAAAAGTGACTTTTCTTCTTCATATATCTTGCAATTGCAAGTTCTAAACTCATAATTGTGAGTTTACATCTCGTAATTCTGACTTTTTTTCTCAGAATTGTGAGTTATAAATTCGCACTTACGAGTTTGTCTCGTAATTATGACTTTTTTTCTCTGAATTCAAAATTTACATTTTACTGTTTTTTGTTTACGTCACAGAATAAAACAATAAAAAAGGTTATTGCAACTTAGAAACTCACAACTATGAGGAAAAAGTCAGAATTGTGCGATTTAATCTCACAATTGTGTATATAACTTACAGTTCAGAGTCAGACTTCACTTTTCGGTGAGTTATAAACCCATATAGCTTATAGCTCGCAACAAGTTTTTTTTGTCTCAGAATTGCGAGAGCAAAGTCTAAATTGTGAGGTATAAAAGTCAGATTTGTTTTAAAAAAGTCAGAATTGTGAGACAAAGAGTTGCAATTACCTTGTTTAGATTTTTATTTCATGGCAGGAATAAGCTTATGAGACCTTACTTTTTTTTTTTACATGAAAAATGTTTTCTTAAGAGAGCAGTGGGACTGCTTTGTTTTTACAGATGTCTCACCCTTCTCCAGATGTAATGAGGGTCTATTTTATGGGTCACTAGCACAATCTAAGCTAAAAACAAAAAGTGAACCATGTTATCTGAGAACCAAACACCATATTGTAAAAGGAAGGATTCCATACAATGGAAGTCAATGGGGCTGGGTGCTTTAAAAAGGACAAAAGCACCTTAAAAGTAGTCCACCCAACCTGTGAGCAGTGTAAAGCATTCTCCCCAACATATGCCTTGTGTTACACAGGAGGAAATTCATACGGGTTTGGAATAACAAGAGGGTGAATAAATGATTTTCAGTTTGGGGTCTAGTACTAAGACTGTACGGCAATAGGACAAGCATGAGGACATTAACAGAAAAAGACATGCAACAATGTCAAAAACTATGTAGTAAGGTATACTCTACCTGTATAGTGCAGGTGGAAAGCTGTGAGTGCCCAGTGAAACCTGGACTCCATGTTAAGGTTATATTAAGATCAGACACATGATGTACCTTGACGTCCTTGGGGGAATCAGGGCAGACTGCACATAAGAATCACATGTAAAGAAAAGCATTATAACAACAACATGTATTTATCTTCTCTCTGCTACGAGCTTTTTGTGCCTTCGGACTTCTGTGGTTGTATTTGTGTGGTTGACTGTGTAATACAGTTGTTAAAATATGATGGATTACTGCCAAAACAAAAACCAACAACTAATTTTGCATTCTGTATGGAATTACAGCAATAAAAGTTATGTGAGCTGGAAGTGAAAAACACTATGGTATGTCTCACCTTTAATGTGCACTGTGCCTGTGCGTGACACGGCGATGCCTCGAGTGTTCTTAGCCTCACAGTAAAACTTTATACTGTCATTCACACCTGGTTGAGCAAATGAGAAACATTGCTGTGGTCAGCGCTTCATGGAGTACTGATATCTCGAAATAAGCTTGCAAAAATGCATATTAAATGGGTCACATTTCACCCCAATATCAAAAGAATGAAATAAGGAAAATACAGTTGAGGTCAAAAGTTTACATACACCTTGCAGAATCTGCAAAATGTTAATTATTTAACCAAAATAAGAGGGATCATACAAAATGCATGTTATTGTTTATTTAGTACTGACCTCCATAAGATATTTCACATAAAAGATGTTTACATATAGTCCACAAGAGAAAATAATAGTTGAATTTATAAAAATGACCCCGTTCAAAAGTTTACATACACTTGATTCTTAATACAGGGTTGTTACCTGAATGATCCACACTTGTGTTTTTTTTTGTTTAGTGATAGTTGTTCATAAGTCCCTTATTTGTCCTGAATGGTTAAACTGCCCACTGTTTATGAGAAAAATCCTTCAGGTCCCACAAATTCTTAAATTTTTTAGCATTTTTGTGTATTTGAACCCTTTCCGACAATGACTCTATGATTTTGAGATCCATCTTTTCACACTGAGGACAACTGAGGGAATCATATGCAGCTATTACAGAAGGTTCAAACGCTTACTGATGCTTCAGAAGGAAACACAATGCATTAAAATGACATTATAATCTAACATTATTTTGATGATAATTTAAATATATTTTAAAATACTATATATATATATATATTATATATACTACCATTCAAAAGTTTGGGATCAGTAAGATTTTTTATATTTTTTAGCGAAGTTTCTTGTGCTTATCAAGGCTGTATTTATTTGATCAAAAATACAGAAAAAAGCCTATTATTTTGTGAAATATTCTTGCAATTTAAAATAACAGTTTCTATTTTAATATACTTTAAAATATAATTTATTCCTGTGTTATAATACAGTTATATATACAGTATATATATGTGACCCTGGACCACAAAACCAGTCATAAGGGTAAATTTTTTGAAATTGAGATTTATA